TTTTGTTGAAAAAACCCCGACCAAATCTGGTTGAAGGGGAAGAGGACAGTCAAATAAGTGTTTTGATTGATGTTAGAGGAATTCTTTGACTGGCAGGCAAAGGTACTTGAATTTATATTGTTCCGGATTCTATTCAAAGAAAACGAACTATCTATTGAGGTACTGTGTATTCAGATACTGTAATTTGCCGAGTTATTCCACACTAGTTTGTAATTTTATTACTCTAACACGGACCGATGCAAAATGATTCAATCGATGACCGTTAATCAATCGAACTGATTGATACGCTCGACAGAATGACGCACCTTCCTCGGCAAATGTTATAAATCTCTTTCATCATGGAACCCACTGGTTCCACGAAGTTGCATGTCTCATTCCCTTCATTTATGCAACCATTTTCTTATAATTACTTCTTTATTACTAGTAATTTCGCACGTTTAGAGAGCTGATATTCAGAAGGCAAATGTCTATTGGAGTACAAACCTCCTCAGTCATCATTTCACTGATAAGCGTTCATCCTATCAGCCCTAGAATTTAAACTCGATAGTGCTCATCTTTTTCATAGTCTCATGCGCACTGCAACAAGAAATCGTACTGAAAATTATGAAATTGCTTTTGAAATTATTTGATTACCTAATACTATGCAGTAGATACTAAGTAGGTAACCTCAGCAACGCTTTGGAAATGCTGAACTTGGCTATGCTCCCGAAAAAATTGCTGATTGTAGCTTCTCGAAAATCCTATACCTATAGAAAGTCAAGAAAATATCTTCTGCTACATTCACATTTGAATATTATTCTATCTTATTTTACCATATTATTATTGGTATTATTACTATATATTGTGTTTTATAATTTTTTTACTATTACTCTTATTATTACACTCACAAAAAAAGACAAAAAAAACATGAAAAAAACCGAATAAAAGCAAATCCTTGTTGCCAAAATTGTTATTGTTATCATTATTCTTGATTTTGTATAGTATTTAATAATTCCATTATTTATATCTTTAACTTTACTGATGAATGATAAGGGACAAGGTGTTTGGGTGTCAATCAATCCCTAGTGAAAAGTGCGCCCCGCATTCTGCTTCCCTTCAGGGTCGTAGTGGAGTATTGAATGCGTATGTGGCCTATACAATGACTTGCTGTGACCATCCAGTACTTTTATCTTCCCAAACGAGTCTAGTGCCAGTTAACCGACACGGAGGGAAGGAAGGCTTTGTTGGCCTAGGCGGTTATCGATCTGGGGATTCGAAACCTTGACCATGTGTAAGAGGTAGTGCGCTACTTGCCACTTTATCACCTCCGCCACCATTAAATTATTAATATACTGTATCTGTATCATCATTCATTGTCGTATTAGCAACGAATGCTAGCTCCGCCTCCAACCAGCTGCTAGTGGAACATCCTGCTGTGCAAGCGGAAGCCATGAGTCAGCTTCCGGATTGAAGATCTTTTAGCTCAGGCGAGCTTTTCATCCTTTCAAGGGTGGGTAATCAAATTACTAGATTTGTCCGGTGAATTGCAAACTGCGACTTAGTCGTTGGTACCCCCCTCGTTGTAAGCCACAGTAAAGGGATTCAAACTAGCCTTCAGATGTAACAAAGGCGATTTTGAGGGGAATCAGGTGCATGGCTCACTACAAGAAGTCGACTACTTAATTCTCCCATCCCTTGCCTCTGTATTAATATACCTACAAGTTAGTAGGCATATGGCATAAGCCATACAACTGGTCTGCATCGATCAACTCGGCGTCAGGGCAAAGGTTTGCGTCAACTTTCGGGCACTCGACGTATCCTGACAGTCGACTTGAAATTTACTTGATTTTTTGTTTATTTATTTGCCTGAGTCTTCGCCCATATAGCTGTTTATTTGCATCTTCAAAGCTTAGCAAGAAAAGGAATCCTGCCTGAAGGCTGATAAATGTAAAACCGTCTGCCTCCCAGCTACGCTCAGCGGGTTCCTGTACTCGAACAAATCCACAAATTGTAACAAATTGTATAGGAGATATCTCATCAAGCACTTGTCGAACATCAATCAATCCCTTTTGTTCCCGACGTGGGTTTTTTGGACATTACGTTGCCCTCTCATCCACGTGATGCACTCAATGAACGCCACACTGTTGAACTCCCAGTCGGACCCTCCTGCGTACCGTCGTATTTCATTCTTGAGCTGTCACAATCGTCGCTAATAGTTTCCTGTGGACCTCTTCTTTTCTTGATAGGTGCCGTCATTTATGCAAGTACTTGCCTGGTCGTAAAAGTTGTCTGCATGGCTTATCAACCTCCCCTGAGTTCTCGATACGTGTTGCTCATCGAAGTAGCAGCAACACTTGGAAATACTCCAGATAAGTACTAGGCGGTAGAATAGTATGTTTAAAGGTAGGGGAGAGNATCTTCCTTTATTCATTATTATTGTTAGTATTATTACTATTAAATTATTTGGATACAGTTCTTCAA